ATTATATAATATATATATATATATATATATATATATATATATATATATATATATATATATATATATATATATATATATTGCATGTCAAATTCCCAAAAGTATTCATGTTAACTTCCCAAGTATACTTATAAGTGACGAAAGTGACATGTGGCGACCCATACTTGGAATTAGTGCTCTGCATTTATCCCATCTAAAGTGCACACACACAGCAGTGAACACACACAGTGGGCAGCCATTTTTTGCTGCGGCATCCGGGGAGCAGTTGGGGGTTTGGTGCCTTGCTCAAGGGCACCTCAGTCGTGGTATTGAAGGCGGGAGAGAGCGCTGTACATTCACTCCCCCCACCTACAATCCCTGCCGGTACGAGACTCGAACCCACAACCTTTGATTTTGAGTCCGACTCTCTAACCATTAGGCCACGACTTCCCCAACAACATTTCTCTCAAGAAAATTTTAAATGTAATATGCTAACAAATATAAAAATGCATTGCTTGGCCAAGAGAAGGTAACTTTGAAGACAACATTACGTATAGTAAAGCAAATCTTATATGCATTTATATAGATTTATATAGATAGTAAAGCATGACAGTGGGATACTCTTACCAGTCTGAATGGCCTAAGAAAACCAATTCCAGACACCACATTTGCCAAACAAAGTTCCAGCAGACTCAGTGTGACTATGATGCTGTCGAAGATATTCCAGCCTTCCTGAAAGTAAGTGTACGGGTCCAATGCAATGATCTTGAATATCATTTCTGCTGCAAAGATACCTATGAAAACCTGAAGGCAAGGAACAATTAAAAACTTTTTTTTAAACTAGAGCCATCTACTGACTAAATGTGTAATTAAATATTTACATATGTTGATTAGTCATTAACGATCTTTAGCAATCATTTATGATAACATTTTAACACTTTGTTTAGTATATAAATAAATTGTACCTATGAAAACCTGTAGGTAAGATGACAATTAAAACTTTTTAAAATGAACAACATAAAAGTAGAGGGACCACTCGTCCTCTTTTTTCCCAGACATGTCCTGGCTGGGATTTCTAAATTGCCTGAAACAGCGGTTCTTAATCCTGGTCCTCATGACCTCCCGCTTTGCACATTTTGTATGTTTCTCTTATCGCTTCAGATATTTGTTCCATTTGACCGTAAGTGCCCTGCGAAGTGGACATCACAGGATATTATTCAAAAGGATATGTTCCATTTAAAGGGCATTAAAGTGAGCGAGACGTGACTACTATGCAAATCTCAATGATTACGGTTAAATAACCCTTCACACTTTTCACTTCACAGTTTTGTCTGTGTGTGAAGACGCTGCAGGCAGTGGTGTAGAGCACATCCGTGTTCTTAAGTGCAGTAAACTTTAGCCGATTTGCCGTGTGCAGGGAGTAGAGAGCAATGAACACTGTGTAGGGACCCTGTCAATCGGAACACAGTTCATTCATGGAGCTCTCTTCTAACGAGCCGATGATTTGAATCAGGTGTGTTAACCAAGAGAGACATGCAAAATATGCAGAGCTGGGGGTCCCAAGCACCAGGATTAAGAACCGCTGTTTTAGACAATTTAGAAATCCTGGCCAGGATATTTCCTGGAAAAATAGGATTTCAGTCACCCTATTAAAAGTATTTTTAAAAAACTAGAGCTGTCTACTAACTAAATTTGAAATAAAAAACATTACATAGGTAATGTGGATTTCTTGATCACTTTTATCAATCATTTATGAGAAAACATATATACAAATAAAGTGTCTTATATATACTTTCAAATATAAATTTAATTAGTAAATTCACACTGCTCCATTTCAGTGGGGTTGCTCACTAATAACAGTAACTCTTTCTAGAATAACAGAACAAGTCTCAAAATATTGTACATGAGGGCATTTCATAGTCATTAAAGTGCTGCTACAAATGTTCTTACCACATTGGCAGTTGAAAGCATGTAAACATAGTCATTTTGCATGGGATAATACTCCATGGCCATGAATACTGTGTTTATCACTATGCAAATGGTGATAAACAGATCTGCAAAGGGGTCCATCACAACCATGTGGACAATTTTCTTTATCTTCAGCCATGTGGGACTGCAATCCCAAATCAGATAATCCTCGGCAAACTTGAACCAGCACTCAACACACTTCTGTTTCCAGACCTCCGATGCTGCCGTGTTAAATACAAATAAAGACAATCTGAAAGCTGTATGTGAACTAGTATGCATTTTGGCAACATTTGTAACAAACAGAAATGAGCAAACAAGCACTTGATCAAAAGAACAGTTCATCTTTCTTCTGTGAAAAATAAAAAGGGCCACTATGAAAGTCAATGAGAAATGAGGCTGTCAAACTTCAAGAAGACAGTAAAAGCATCATTAGTTTTCGGTCTATTACTCAAACAAAGGTATCATATGACTTTAAATATTGGGAAAATGTCATATGAAAAATATTTATGAGATTTTTATGGTTCTTTTGTATTTTTTAAAGCTTGACAGCCTCGGCCCTCATTTTATTATAAAAGATTGTCCTGTATTGAGAAGATATTGAAAACTTTTGTGCTACAAGGCGATTAAAGTCATTTAGGTTTGAAACAACATGTAGGTGAGTACATGATAACAACTGAATAAAACTATTTCTTTAAAAGTACAGAGAAAAATCCAACAAATATACAGTATCTCACATTGAGTTTCTTGTAAGGGGCTGTTCACACAGAATACACTACTTTTCCTTAATAAGAATAATTTCAACTTTGCATCACAAGACTTTGCATTTTCCCCCCATTCCACTGCCAGAGTCTCACGTTTTTCAAAATAAAAACGCATTCTGTGTGAACGGCCCCTAAGTGTGTTTGGCATTTAGGGTTTCTTACAGTCAGTAGGGTTGTTGCTGACACTTGCGATGCTCAAAGCTCGCTGTCTCGCTGACTGGTCATATAGAAAAGCCTTTGAATAGCTCCTTGAATCACATCGGCGTCGAGATTCTTCATCTGTGTCATACTGTAAAGGGATTAAATCAACAGCAAATACATCAACAAATGTTACGATGGTGCTTCATTAGTGTTTGTAATGCAGCAATCTATTTGTCAATCATTCTTGTATTCAACTCAATGAATTCAGGCAACCTGTAAAACATCTTGGACTGATATTTCTCAAGAAATGTGGCATAAATTTGGCAAAAAATAAATAAAAAATATTTAATTAAAAACAAAATAATTTACAAAACATGTCTTGAAACATAACATCTTATTTTTGATAAACTTCTGATTTTTGGGGGATCTACTTAAAAGGTCTTTGCATGTTTCAGTTTACATGTATGTATATATATCATATATATTTCAATTTCCTTCGTTTACCACAATTCTTTTGCTGCCTTGCAAACACTGCTATTTCCTTCTGGACATTTTAACCACTTTGTGAATGCCTTTGTTTGTGCTAAATGCCACTAGTAGTACATATTAGTACATATTAAAAATATTAAGACATTGTAAATGTTTATACAATACAATGAAATGCTTTATAGAATACGATAATAATTATAATTATATTATTTTATAATAGGTTTTAAAAAGTTGTAAAAAAATTTACCTTTTTTTTAAAAAGACATTATGCAGAGTAACATGCTTTAAACACATGCTTGAACAAGCTTTGAATCAAAAGCTGGATATAATGTGTATTTTGCTTTTTTAATGATTAATTGATTAATTGAACAAATAATTGACAAATTCATCGATTTCCAAAATATATATTAGTTGCAGTAACTTTAATATTGCCAATTTTATGTCTTTACATGCTGATGATATGCTGTCATCCTGGAAAACAATTAAAAATAGTTTATTGTCACAACTTGATTTGCAAGCTCACACTCAGAATCTGCATGCAATGAACTTCCACAGAAATCTCTGCAGATTTCTGCAGAATGTGAATCTGATCACTCATAAGTTCCCTGCCATTTCATGTTTTTTTTTTTATATATATATATATTTTGCATTTGAGTATGCAGCTTTTTTTTTTTTTACATATTTAAATTAATCTCACAGAATTCTTCAGATTTTCACCCAAAGTTAGCCAAAAAGAAGAAAAAAAAAAACGTGCACAGATTCATGTCAAAATATAGCCGCAAGCGGCAATCATCGGGGTCCAAGCACAACCCAGTGGGCAATTAATGTTGAAAACACATCAAACTGACATCAAAATTTACCTAAAAAAACATGTCAAATATGCAAATCAAACTGATGTCAAAAACTTGACATGACATTGATACTGAATTTAGGATATATATATATATATATATATATATATATATATATATATATATATGTAGGTATTTTGG